TAAAACAAATTTAAGATATAAAAGTATCACAAAATGACATTTATAGAATATTAATTTAAACCTTGAAATTTAATTAAAGCGACTACGTAAAAAGCTCATTAATATTCTTAACAGAAAATGACTTGTCGAATATAACAATGTTGATATATGTCAAAAAACCGAATTCTAAATACAAAAAAGTTTAATAAATTTTATGATATGGTAACACGAAATGGCACTTATGGTACATCAATTTAAAACTTAAAATTCCTACGTAAAAACCTCGTCGACATTTTTAATACAGAACTATGTAGTAGTAACAATCTTATGTCACTTATTGAATTTTGAAACATGAGTCTAAGATAATTATGACACAAAAATTGATACTTATTGCATATCAATTCGTAGTTTAAAGTGTCTAAAGATTTTGTCAGCTTAATACAATATAACTAGTTACTGTAGCAAATAATGTTATAATTCCACATAAAATATGTAATTTAAAGGTGAAAAGTTTAATATAAGTTTGACATAAAAGTAGCACAAAATACTTATATCAATGCCAGTAATAATCACTATGTTAAGACCTCATCAATGTCCTGAATACAAAACGACTGTGCGTCAATTGCAGCAAGTTATCATATCAAACATACAATTTTTAAACATCATTAGACATCGAAGATCTGATGAAATTTCATAACACAAGACATCATTAAATAACACTTGTTGCACAACAATTTGTAGCTCGGAAGTTCGATCAAAATGACTACATAAGAACCTCGTTAATATTCTTAATATAAAACAACTGATTGCCAACTGCAACAATGATTATGTCGAATAGCTCCAAAATAGAAAATCTCAAACGATTCCATGACAGAAAGGTACCAGAAAATGGCACATACGACATATCAATTTATAGCTTACGCTTCACTGAAAATAACTGTGCAAAGACCTCATCAAGTTTCTTAAAAATGACTGAAACCAATGTTGAAACACCAGATCAAATATATCATTTTCAAACAATTTCATTACATAAAAGTATCTCCAAATAACATTTATAGTATATCAAAAAGCTTGAAGTTCAATAAAAATTACATAAAGTATATCAACCTGAAGCTGAAAATTCAGGAATGTGAAGATCTCATCAGTACTTGACACAGAATGATTATTTATCTAATGACGATACATAGATCTTTAGAGATAAACGCGAAGACGTTATCGACAGATATAATAAATCATCGAGAATAAGTTTCATTTGACAAAGAAGACGATTGTTTTCTGCTCTCGCAAGTTCAACGCCTGCCACCGGCCGGTTCTTTAACCGAGATATACAAAATGAAATTAGAGGGAAGAGAAAGACAAAAGAGATGATGCTAGGAGGATAGAGTGCCAAGTCTAAAATACATATCAGTCAGTAGCCGACCGAACGGTCCAGTCTAAAGTCTTTGAATTTTTCGAGAGTCGCCGATCAGGCATCAGTCCAAAAATGGACCCCACTATACTACTGCCAACGTGTTCTTTCGATGCCTACAAATTCAACTTTCTCTCCTTCCGTAATATATTTATTTTTTTACAAAAGTATATGTACATCAATGTACGCATTCACGATGCATTTTAACAAAAATATCAATTATTTTGTTACGTATGTTGGAGCTCGTAGGACACCAATGTTCAGAAATTCACTGAAGTTTGGAACTTCGAGACTTAGGGACTTCGGAAGTTACTTTAGAATTTTAGCGCAGGGAATTCGGAACTTTCGAATTAGGAGTTAGAGAATTTTAGAATGAGGAGAATTTGAGACTTTGAGGTTTCGAGTCTTTGGAATTAGCTTTAGAATTTTAGAATGTAGGGAATTTAGAACTTCGAGGTTACGAAACTTTGGAGTTTTGGAGCTAGAGTGTTTTAGAATGTTGAGAATTTGGGACTTCGAGGTTTCGAAACTTTGGAATTAGAGGCTTTAGAATTTCAGAATGGAGAGAATTTGGAATTTTGAGACTTCGAAATTTTAGCGTGGAGAGCATTTGAAACTCTGTGATTTTCGAATTATTAAGTTTTAGAACTTTAGAATTTTTGAACTTCAACACTTTGAAATTTTTGACCTCAGAGTCTTTAGAACTTTGCAAAATAATAAAGAATACTGATTGAAAAATGATACACTTCAACCGAGTAATTCACAAAATATTGTTTTTCAAAAGTCGATCCATAAATATTTTAGAAGCCCTGTTTTATCATATTTTGAAAACTTTTAGAACAGTACAAACTATATTAAAAAAGTCGAATTGATCAAATTTATTTATAGTGTTATTAAATTAAGACACTTTTCATTTTTCAATCGTTTTGTTCGCAAAGTTACATTGAATCTAATTCTATTATTTTAAATTATATATAATATACTCTAAATTTACTAAAACTACCATTAAACACTTCACTGCTTAATTATTCTTAAAATTTTGCCAATATTTCTAAAACTTTGTTAAATAATTATAGCTGATAATAGAAATGTCTCTAGAAAGATTTCAATTTACAATAATTATAGAAGAATTAAATCTATAATAGTTTCACATAAAACAGTAAAAATATTCCATCTATAATAATTATAATACTGCTTTAATTAATCGCTGCTTTCTACTGTACTGTTAAAGAGAGTTTAAATTCGCCGCCAAAAGGATACTATCACGTGATCGGTCGGTTGTTTCCGAAGAGCTTAAAAAGGAGCGAGTCAGCCTCGTGGCATCAGTCATTCCCCAACTCGCTTCAGAAGTACGATTTTGCGAAAAATTTTTATCGTGATAAATCTTTGTAAAGAATATTATTTGATTTCTACTTAATTTACAAAAGCCCTAATAATCTTACATCCTATTATGAAACATCCGTATGATGTAAGAAACAGTTTGTACGTGTAATTTGTTCCATTTAGAAATGTATAATGGGTTAAGTCTTTTAACAAAAAATAACTGAATTAATTTTATCAGCATGGAATAAGTAGGTATTCTTCTGAAAATAAAAAAATCGATACAAAGTGACGATTCATATATTGAATATAAATCTATAAAATTTCTTTTCCCTTTATACAGGTTATAAAAATGTTATATGGATCTTAGCTAATATTCTCTATACGTTAAATATAATTGTAAATCGTTAAAAATATGCGCTGTTTTGCTAAAATACTTTACTGTAAAATTCTATCTTTATCTATTTATTATTATGCGAATCATGTTACTACGTAAATTATAATTTTTAGTAACTTTACTATGCTCAAATACATAATTCATCTTGCTTGCGTCAATTGTAATAAATCAATCCATAAGTTAATAAATTTACAAATTTCATTATGCAATTATTTGCAAACTTTAAGATCAAATTAAGATATTTTATAACGATTAAATTAATTTACGTAATAAACAGATATTTGTTAACATAGTTTATAAACCGTTTATACAAATAACGAAATAATTGTATTTCTCATATACGCGTCAATAATTAGTTATTCAAATGAACATAAAAAAGAGTATGTTTAAAAAAACATTAGAAGAAATGCATATAACTCGTAATGTACATGTTGAATATTCCAATGAGAATTTCGTCATATTTTATTTGCTTCTATTTATCAAAATGACGTTTGCATCATCTAGATTAAAACGATCACAGATACCAAGAAACCATCAATTTAAGCGGAAACCTTTACGCAATTTCTAAATATGTTTATATTAATTACAGAAAAAATAGAAGATCAACAACAAATATCAAGGGTAAACTAGAAAATGTAGAAATTCATAAATCTAGAAATATATGTTTAAATTCACGAATTTTGTAATTTAGAAAATTTTTAATTTACAAATTTCAAAATACAGAAATTTTTCATTCTCTTTGCACCAATGTAATGTACAAAAACTATCCCGTATTACACGAATAAGTTAGATTATACAGATATGAATTACAAACTTCCCTTAGTTAAAGGGAAGGTTTCCACCGCTTGCCTCAGTTGTTCTCGTTCTTTAAATGCAAAGATTCTAAGTTAGGTTCTCACAAAACCAAAGACAAGTGAGAGATCTTTTAGGAACCTAATGTAATTCAAGTCTACACATTCAACCAGTTTGTATGAGTAGAAGAGGACCTAGAGACCCTAGCATGGACCTTACTAGGGAAAATAACAATGTGGACCCTACGTTGTAAATAGTTCTACTATTTGCAGTAATAAGAATTATCACGTATTGTATCAGGTTTGAATGAGTGATAGAGATACTAGGAAGCTTAGAGAATTTATTTCCCTAGGGAAAATAACGGTATGAAAAAGACTACTCGTGTTACTACACATCAGTTTACACAAATAGCGGGATTTTAGGTCCCAGAAAATATAGAATCCTAGCTACATAGATATATAGACGATTAAGAACAAGTCCCAACATTTGTTCTAATGTTTGAGAATTACCACGTATTATGTGTAATTTGCATATTTGAGGGGGACCCTAGAGAACCGGCAGACTGTTCTAGGGAAAATGACGATGTAGAGAAAGACGCTACTCGTGTTTCTATAAGTTGTCTAGTGTTATCTATTGTACCTAGTTTAGACGAGTGGCGAGTACCCTAGAGACTTTAGAGACCTTAGACTTCCTAATGGTAGCCTTCCCTAGGGGGAAAGACGATATAGGGAAAGAAAGCTCCTCTGTTTTTATCTTTAATACATGGTCACGTGGAACGTAGGCTTCTTTTAGCTAAAAGGAAGTGTCCCACTTGCTTTTTTATTCACGTTCTTTATATTTTCCCTAGGTTCTACAACTGAAGGCACATGGCGGGTGACTCCTCCATATATCTTTCCCATTAACCAAAAGCCTACGTTACACCCGACTATACAGTGTCAAACGAGCGGTGGGGAAGTTCCCACCGTTTTTAACTTTGTTAAAAGCTTCCGAAAGTTAGGGTCCTTTTCTTTTGAAAGAAACAGGTCCGAAGAAAGGTCACTATTGTACTACTGGCACTATGGTGACTTCCTGGTAAAATGCATAATTTTGTGGCAATATACTTACATTGTTGCTTATGCCTGGATTCCATAAGGATCATTTGTTCATGTTTGTGCCACGCAGCATCAGTAGTGTCTGTGCTCGCCATACCCCTCGCACCTGCGGAGGGTGGTTGGACACCCCCACGGCCCCCACCGCCTCCGCCCCCGCCGCTTCCATACTCCATACCAGCGGCACCCTTACCCTTCCCTC